CTGTTGACACGCATCTAATGCAAGGCCCGTGTTGAAGGCAGCGGGTCCCGTCTGCAGCTCCAGTCTGCCTTGATGACCAAAGGGGGAGGTGAGGCCCAGGGAAAGCCACTGAGATGCCTGTCTCTTTCAATCTGAGAGCGCCTGGAGTGTGCACGTCATTATTTAAAGGTCTCCCGGTACCAGCTAAATGTCTCTGCTTCCTATGGGCGATGAGGTCGATTTCATCTTTTCTCAGAACGAGCTTTTGATGATTGGAATTCTTTAAAATGATGTTCATCTCCCTGGAAGTCTGGGAAATTTGGATTAATTTCTCTTTTGTGCAGAGCCCTCATAGAGGTGCGTCAGGCTCCACCTCTTTGTTCCCTGTGAAAGTCACATAGATAAATCCAACTCTACTATCTCCTATGAGAAGTTGGACAGATTTAAATTCTTCAAGTCTCAGTTTCCTCATCTAGTGCTTATCTGGCTCCTACATTTACTCCAGGACCCTTGATTTGGATTTGTGTCCCTGCCCAAATCTCATATTGAATTATGATACCCAGTGTTGGAGGAGGGGTCTGGTAAGAGGTGATTGGATCATGGGGGTGGATTTCCCACTTGCTGTTCTCATGATAGTGAGTCCTCACAAGATCTAGTTGTTTGTAAGTGTGTAGCACCTCCACCTTAGCTCTCTTCCTCCTGCTCTGGCCATGTAAGATGTTGCCTGCTTCCCCTTCACCTCCCATCATGATTGTAAGTTTCCCAAGGCCTCCTCAGAACCTGTGCAGCCTGCAGAAATAGGAGTCAATTAAGCCTCTTTTTGTTTTTTGTAAATTACCCAGTCTCAGATAGTTCTGTACAGCAATGAGAGAAGGGATGAATACAGCCCTGCACAGGCTAGTAACTATTTGTAGAATAGGATCATCTATAGAATAAACACAGCTAACTAGAAATACCAGTGCACAGCAGAATTCAGTAGCCTAATCATGTATCCAAATGCCATCTACACGTTATATTTTGTGGCAAAAAGTTTGTCATCTCTACTTTCCCCCTGCGTCCATCCCACTAACTAGAATGTAAGATCCACAAAGGCAAGGATTCTCAAACACCTGGATTAGTGGCTGAATTGTTGTTAGGAGTATAATAAAAATTTGGAAAGCATCTATCAAATAGTGAATTAAATTAATGAGTAAATGAATGGATGAATAAATGAACGGAAAATTTTCTTGGATCAGTCCTCCTGGAAGGTAGACCACTGACCTATTTAACATCTCTGCATATCATTTTATTTCCCTTCTTTCTTTTTCAATAAGATCAATTCTTCTGCCTTTTAAATATTAATTAAGCTACTGCACATTTGGTACCATGTACCTAGGCTCTGTGGCCAGACAACCTGGGTTTGAATTTTACCTTCATTACCTGTTAATTGGGTGACTTCAGGCAAGTCATTAGGCCTCTCTGTGTCCAATAACTCAGTTGTAGAATGGGGGGAAAATACCAACTACCTAATTAGGTTGGTGTGAGGTTCAAATGAGTTTATATACGTCAAGTGCTAAAAACAGTGCCTCACACATTGGTAGCTGTTACTAGTATTCATAAGTATTGAATAATGTTGATATTTAGTAAAGTAAATCTATTTGAGAGAGGCTGGGTGTAATGGCTTATGCCCGTAATGCCAGCACTTTGGGAGGCCAAGGCAGGAGGATTGTTGAGCAGAACCCAGGAGTTCAAGACCAGCCTGGGTAACATAGTTAGACCCTGTCTATACAAAAAAATCACACACACACACAAAACTAGCTGAGAGAATAAAGACACTACAAATAATATTAGAGAAGAGAAAGAGAAAAATACAAACATGAGGGTTAGTTTTAATCACTTTAATGAGGTATGATTGACGTTCAAAAACCTGCACACATTTAATGTATACAACTTGAGAAGTTTGGAAATAGGCATACATTCGTGAAACCATCACCACAATCAATGTCATAAACACATCTATCACCTTCAAAAGTCTTCTCCCACCCTTTTTATTTGTTATTACTATTTTTTGTGATAAAAACAGGTAACATAAGGTCTAATCTCTTAACAATTTTTAAGTATGTAATACAGTATTATTAACTATAGGCACTACACTGTACAGTAGATCTCTAGGACTTATTCATCTTATATAACTAAACTTTGTACCCTTTGACCAACAGATCCCCATTTCCTTTCCCACAAACCCCTGGCAATCACCATTGTACTCTCTACTTCTATGAGTTTGACTATGTTAGATTCGTCATATACATAAGATTATGTGGCATTTGTCCTGCTGTGCCTGGCTTATTTCATTTAGCATAATGTTCTCCAGGTTCATTGATGTTGTCATAAATAAGTCTCAATAAAAGTATATGTATACACCACATTTTCTTCATGCATTCATCCATCAATGGGAATTGAGATTGCGTTCATGTCTTGGCTATTGTGAATAATGTTGCAATGAACATTACATTGTAATGAAGTGCGGACATCTCTTTGAGATCTTGATTTCAATTAGTTTGGATATATATTCAGAAGTGAAATTGCTGGAGTTTATGGTAGTTCTATTTTTAATTTTTGGAAGAACCTCCATATTGTTTTCCATAGTGGCTGTGCCAATTTACATTCCCACCAACAGTGTACACAGGCTCCCTTTTTTCCACATCCTCACATTTATTATCTTTGGAGTGAGAAAATAAGTAATACATAAGAGATAACAGTTGTGAGATGCTGTCTCATTGTTGTTTGGATTTGCATTTCCCTGATGATGATTAATGATGTTGAGCGCCTTTTCACGTACCTGTTGGCCATTTGTTTATCTTCTTTGGAGAAATGTCTACTCAGATCTTTGCCAATTTTTAAATCAGATTATTTGGTTTTGGGTTTTTGGTTTTGGGTTTGTTTTACTATTGAGTTGTAGGAGTTCCTCGTGTTCATTTGTTTGTTTTGAGATAGATTTTCACTCTTGTTACCTGGGCTGGGGTGCAATGGCCCGATCTCAGCTCCCTGCAACCTCCACCTCCTGGGTTCAAGTGATTCTCCTGCCTCAGCCTCCCGAATAGCTGGAATTTCAGGCATGCGCCACTATGCCCAGCTAATTTTTGTATTTTTAGTAGAGATGGGTTTCACCATGTTAGCCAGGCTGGTCTTCAACTCCTGACCTCAGGTAATCCATCCACCTTGGCCTCCCAAAGTGCTGGGATTACAGATGTGAGCCACCACACCCGGTCTGTATGTTTTGCATGTTAACCTTTTATCAGATATATGGTTTGTACGATTATAATGTTTAAAATAAAAAGCACACTATATAATTATACACACATAATTTACATCACAACAAAATAATCAATATTCTGAAAGTAGAAGTTACCAGAATGAAGAAACAGAGGAGAAGTGTCATTAAACAAGCACCATAGAAGACAATATTCAAAAACTTTATCCCCCAAAAAGATTCAGAGGCCAATTTTAATAGTCAGTTTTTCAACACGGACACACTAGTAATTTTCATGCCATACATACACATTTGTTTTAGACCATAGGGAAAGATGAATCACTGAGTACTGCATTCTTTGCAGCTATGACACTGGCAACACAGCGGATGACCAAATTGATACAAGAAAAGAAAGCTACGGACTAATCTCACCTAGAATCATAAATGCAAAAATCCTTACTAATTAACTTAAATATTACATTAAAAACACGAGTCTTCATGTTCAGTGAGGGCTTATGCTAGAATACAATATAAAATAGCTCATCTGTATACCAAAGTAAAAATGTATAATAATTTCAATAGATGCATAAAAAGCATTTAAAAAACATCAACATCATTTTACCAAAACATCTTTCAGAAAAGTTAGAATAGGATAGATATTTTTCATAAAACATTAAAACTACATGCAGAATGATATTTAATAGTGACTTGTATAAGTATTTTTGTTAGAATTTAAATATTAGGTTGGTGCAAAAGTAATGGCAAAAACCACGATTACTTTTGTATCAACCTACTGAGACAATGATGTTCACTATCATCATTAGCATTTAACATCTTTCCCGGGAGATGTAGGCAACATAAGAATTCATAAGACAGAAATAGATTAATAGACATAAAAAAGGAGAAAAATGACATTTGCAGTTGATATAATATTCTACCTGAAAACACAAAGGAAACAATGGAAAATCATCAAAACCCAATAAAGAGTTCACTTGCATTGCCAGATACTACATAAAACATTCAGAAATCAGTAGTTTTCTTAAACGGCAACAAATGGTTAAAAAATAAAAGGGACCCAGCTTCAATAGCAACCATTTTTATTAAATGCCTAGAAAACAATACAAAATGCACAATACCATATGCAAAAAATTACTAAACATTCCTAAAAGGCATATGAAAATATTTGATTGAATGAAAAGATTCAACATTGTAAAGATGTCAGTTCCTTCCCATCGTTTAAGATGCAATGCAATTCTAAAACAAAATACCAGTGATTACTTTTGTGAGTTGCGACTAAGGGGCGGGAGGGTGTCAAAGTAGTTTTCAAGTTCCTTTGGAAAAGTAAATGTACAAGTTTAGCCAAGAATTTCTTCCCAAGGATGAAAGTATTTGCCTTTCCAGATGATAATGTTAACTAGCAACGATAATCAGATCATATGCATTGGAGGAAGAGTTGAGAACATGTGCTCAAAGAGATAGAAGAGTGAACACAGAAATAGGCTTTATTCAATGCTTTAGTGTTTGATAAAGGTGGCAGCACGGATCAGGGGAAATTAAGGGTTATTCAAAACAGGTACTGGAGCAATGGCTCTCTGATAGGTCCTCATCCGCTCTAAAGGCTGCCTTTCAGCTTAATCATATTGCATTAACCTCCATGGTATCTTTTGCAGAATCTGCCTCACCAAATTGCCTTTTTTTAGGGCTTTTCAGGGGTACAAGACGAAAGATAAAGAGAGAAAGAAGAGCAAGATCCTATGAGGACCTCATTTCTTTTGCTGGTTCTCATTTCAGGTCATTTGAGGCAGCAGATACTCAGGTGCTAAAAATTCCTCCAAACATCTCAACATTTCCCCCCCACCCCCTGCCCGGGATCAGCATAGTGTCATGGGAAGATGCATAAAGAATGAATAGCATGTCCAGCCATCCCACCGCGTGTCTATAGATGCCAGGCCGGCCCAGGAGGCAAGATGGTACTGTGTTAGAAGTACCCTGGCAGACCTAAGTTCAAACCTCACCTCTGCTACTTTCTGGCTGTGTGAGCAATTTTGGGCAAATTACACAGCCCTAATTGCCCCACCCATAAAATGGGAGTTATGGCTCAGGCCTGTAATCCCAGCACTTTGGGAGGCCGAGGCGGGCGGATCACGAGGTCAGGAGACCGAGACCATCCTGGCTAACACAGTGAAACCCCGTCTCTACAAAAAAAAAATACAAAAAATTAGCCGGGCGTGGTGGCTGGCGCCTGTAGTCCCAGCTACTTGGAGGCTGAAGCAGGAGAATGGCGTGAACCCGGGAGGCGAAGCTTGCAGTGAGCCCGGATCGCGCCACTGCACTCCAGCCTGGGCGACAAACTGAGACTCCGTCTCAAAAAAAAAAAAAAAAAAAAAGGGAGTTATGCTACCTATCTCAAGAGATCACAATGAGGATTAATTCAGATACTACCCATATCTCCTTTTAGATGCACTGTGCCTCCGTTTCCCCATCTATACATTACTTGTACCTACCTCATGGGATTTGTATTAGTCAGTATTAGTTATCGTGCTGATAATAAAGATATACTGGAGACTGGGTAATATATAAAAAGAAGAGGTTTAATGGACTCACAGTTCTACATGGCTGGGGAGGCCTCACAATCATGGCAGAAGGCAAAGAAGAAGCAAAGGCATGTCTTACACGGTGGCAAGCAAGGACAGCGTGTGCAGGGGAACTCCCCTTTATAAAGCCATCACATCTCATGAGGCTTATTCACTATCACTAGAACAGCACAGGCATAACCCGCCCCCATGGTTCAATTACCTCCCACTAGTCCCTCCCACAACATGTGGAGATTATTGGAGCTCCAATTCAAGAAGAGATTTGGGTGGGGACACAGTCAACCCATATCAGGATTGTTGTGAGAATTAAGTGATTTAATATACAATAAAGATCTTAGAAGAATTCTAGAACATGGTAAATACTCATTGTATGGTATCAATTGATTTTATTATAGTCAAAGGTATTTGTTAAATATTCAACTGATAATGGTTATAATTATTAATAGCATTTTATAATATCATTAGTCAGTATTTATTATTATAATATCTAACTGATTTTTTAACCTAACAAACTAATTTTCTTGCTGAGTTGATTTATCTGTTGTCTTACAGATGTCATTTCAGATTCCTGATGGCAGCCACTATTAGCAAAAGTTTCCTGGAGGTGCTTCTCTCTCTCCAATCAGCTTTCCAGTTCTACAAAACTGGACTTCAGGTTGTCATGTAAAGAGGTTTTCAATCACTATCAGCTTTAGTCTTTCACAGTATTCAGCAAAGAACTAGCCCACATACTGTAGTGAAGACACCCTTAGATTACATGACAGTATTTGAGACTGGAGATGCCATGTAGTGAGCTTGTTCTTTTGGAAATGAGAAGCGAGACATCAACTCATGGGTAAAGTACCCATAGCTATTATGTTTTCCCTCCATTCTCCCCTTCCTTCATCCCAGCTAAAGACAGAATTTGACTTCAAATTAATTTGAGGCCATGTTTTTCATACTGTTAGTTCTGAGAGAAGAAAGGCAATGGCCTCTCACCCGTGTTAACTTATAGTTTCTCTTAACCCAAGGAATCAATACTGTATCACTTAGTCCTGGGCAGAGAGAGTAAAGGTAGTTGCCTGAATGAACTTTTGGCATTGATTTATCTATGGAACCCTCCAAAAACAAAATTCCTATTGAAGGAAACCTGTACAACACCGGCTTGTACCTTGCACCTATTCTGTTAAAGTCATTCACAGAGCAGAATATATTAGAATAGAGAAACATATTTTGGTCTGCAATTAGTCTATTTAGCATTAATTGCCTCAGAAAAACAATAAAAGGGAGAGAGATAGAGAAATACATCCAGAGATATCATAGGATTTCTGGAAAGAAGGAGAAAAATTATCTCAGTCATATAGCATGGTCTTCCTTCCTTCTAAAAAAAAAAAAAAAAAAATGCCTCTCAGAGCTAGACATTACCATTCAATAGCTCTATTAATGTTTTTCTCCCATGAGAAAATGTTCTGTTGGATTGGATTTCAGGCAGTGAGAAGTCCAGGTTGCCAGAACTAGCTTGAGGCTGTAGTGTGATAGGGCTGGGGGGAAAAAATCAAGAGAAGTATTGGAGCACTCTCCCACATGCACAAGCTGCTCCTGCCTCACTCTCCAGGCCAAGGTAAATGTGAAATCCAATGCTCAGAAAAACCTGAATGCTTGGTCATTGCTCTGAGAGAAAAATGTAACAGGTCCAGAAAAAGACTGCATTCACATTCTATGGGGAGCTTATACATTCAAGAAGCATGTACTGAGTAACCGGCTACATGTTCCATGCTGTTTGCATTCACCCTTCACAGATGAGAGACCATCTACTGTCCACGTTTTACAGATATAAGTCAGAAGTCAGCCAGTCCCATGTGGTTTCTCTGTTTTAACTGATGTCAGTGCTTGTGCAGACAACTGCTTGTATCAAAAGCATTCAGTGGTGAACTATGTAGATTTTGCTGAAGTTTCCACAGGGCAAAGGGCAGAGGATGCTTACCTCACACATTCACAAAACACACATACACACACACACACACACACACACAACAAACAAAAAACAATGAAAGCTCCTCATTGGAGAAGTCCTTTCTATAGCTGACTCCTCCTTGTACTCCCATCAGTGGAAAGTGTTCTCCATCCTTTGCCCAATGTGGTACCTGGATTCTTTCCCCTTCCTCCTGCATTTCCTCTGATGGAACCTCAAATGCCTCTTCTCTGTATTATGTAGTACACTTCACCGCCATCCTAATTACACTTCCAAGTATGTGCACCAACTCCCATCACAGGATTAACCAACCCTTCCTACTAAGACATTCCCCACTGTACCTGATATGGTTTGGCTGTGTCCTCATTCAAATCTCAATTTGAATTGTATCTCCCAGAATTCCTATGTGTTGTGGGAGGGACCCAGGGGGAGGTCATTGAATCATGGGGCCAGTCTTCTCCATGCTGTTCTCGTGATAGTGAATACATCTCACGAGATCTGATGGGTTTATCAGGGGTTTCCGCTTTTGTTTCTTCCTCATTTTTCTCTTGCTGCTGCCATATAAGAAGTGCCTTTCACCTCCAATGATTCTGAGGCCTCCCCAGCCATGTGGAACTGTAAGTCCAATTAAACCTCTTTTTCGTTCCAGTCTTGGGTATGCCTTCACCAGCAATATAAAAACGGACTAATACAGTAAATTGGTACCAGTAGAGTGGTGGTTTGCTGAAAAGATACCCGAAAATGTGGAGGCAACTTTGGAACTGGGTAATAGGCAGAGGTTGGAACAGTTTGGAGGGCTCAGAAGAAGATAGGAAAATATGAGAAAGTCTGGAACCTCCCAGAGACTTGTTGAATGGCTTTGACAAAAGTGCTGATAGTGATATGAACAATAGGGTCCAGGCTGAAGTGGTCTCAGATGGACGTGAAGAACGTGTTGGGAACTGGAGCAAAGGTAACTCTGGTTATATTTTAGCAAACAGACTGGTGACATTTTGCTCCTGCCCTAGAGATTTATGGAACTTTGAACTTGAGCAAGATGATTTAAGATATCTGGCAGAAGAAATTTCCAAGCAGAAAAGCATTCAAGAGGTGACTTGGGTGCTGTTAAAACCTTTCCATTTTAGAAGGGAAGCAGAGCATAAAAGTTTAGAAAACTTGCAGCCTGATGAAGCAGTAAAAAAGAAAAACCAATTTTTTTAGGAGAAATTCAAGCCAGCTGCAGAAATTTGCATAAATAGCAAGAAGCCTGATGCTAATCCCCAAGACCATGGGGAAAATGTCTCCAGGCCATGTCAGAGATCTTCCCGGCAGCCCTTCCCATCACAGACCCAGAGGCCCGAGAAGAAAAAGTGGTTTTGTGGGCCAGGCCTAGGGTCCCCGTGCTGTGTGCAACCTATGGATTTGGTGCCCTGTGTTCTAGCCACTCCAGCCATGGCCTAAAGAGGCCAATGTACAGCTCAAGCTGTGGCTTCAGAGGGTGGAAGCCCCAAGTCTTGGCAGCTTCCAGATGGCGTTGAGCCTGTGGGTGCACAGAACTCAAGAATTGAGGTTTGGAACCTCTGCCTAGATTTCAGAAGATGTATGGAAATGCCTGGATACCCAGGCAAAAGTTTGCTGCAGGGGCAGGGCCCTAATGGAGAACCTCTGCTAGGTCAGTGTGGAAGGAAGATGTGGGGTTGGAGCTCCGCCCCCCCCAACACAGAGTCCCTACTGGGGCACTGCCTAGTGGAGCTGTGAGAGAAGAGGGCCACCGTCCTCTAGACCCCAGAATGGTAGATCCGCCGACAGCTTGCACCATGTGCCTGGAAAAGCTGCAGACACTCAATGCCAGCCCGTGAAAGCAGCTGGGAGGGAGGCTGTACCCTGCAAAGCCACAGGGGCAGAGCTTCCCAAGTCCATGGGAACCCACCTCTTGCATCAGCGTGACCTGGGTGTGAGACCTGGAATCAAAGGAGATTATTTTGGAGCTTTAAAATTTGACTGCCCCACTGGATTTCCGACTTACATGGACCCTGTAACTTCTTTATTTTGGCCTGTTTCTCCCATTTGGAACGGCTGTATTTACCCAATGCCTGTAATCCTATTGTATCTGGGAAGTAACTAGCTTGCTTTTGATTTTAAAGGCTCATAGGCAGAAGGGATTTGCCTTGTCTTAGGTGAGACTTTGGACTGTGGACTTTTGGGTCAATGCTGAGATGAGTTAAGACTTTGGGGGACTGTCAGGAAGGCATGATTGGTTTTGAAATGTGAGGACATGAGATTGGGAGGAGCCAGGGGTGGAATGATATGGTTTGGCTGTGTCCCCATTCACATCTAAACTTGAACTGTATCTCCCAGAATTCCCAAGTGTTGTCGGAGGGACCCAGAGGAAGGTAATTGAATCATGGGGGCCGGTCTTTCCTGTGCTACCCTCATGATAGTGAATAAATCTCATGAGATCTGATGGGTGTATCAGGGGTTTCTGCTTTTGTTTCTTTCTCATTTTTCTCTTGCCACCACCATGTAATAAGTGCCTTTTACCTCCCACCATGATTCTGAGGCCTCCCCAGCCATGTGGAACTGTAAGTCCAATTAAACCTCTTTTTCTTCCCAGTCTCAGGTATGTCTTTATCAGCAGTGTGAAAACGCACTAATACAGTACCTTTTTGGGATCGGTGTGGGTAGAGAGGCAGAGTGGGGCATGCTTGTCTCTTGCCAAGCTGAGTAAACAAAGGCCAAGAGGAGGGAGGCAATTATCTTGCTGTTAGGGAATAATAAGTTTTCAAATTCAGACATTCTAGTGTCTTTCACCTCTAGATCAGCCCACCTCTCCCAAAACTCTGTGAAATTAAACAACAATCATGATTCTGGAAAAGAAAACAGAAAATAAAGGGTAGGGTATAAAAATGCAAGAGTATTAAGACATCAACTATACTAGATCTAAAAGGGAAGTCAGAGGTCAACACTGGTACACAGTCTAGAATTTCCTTTAATATCCAAGCACATTGGTTTTTGTGCCTTGTCTTGGATACTCCTAGTGGCAGAGAACTTAGTATCTCTTGAGACAATCTATTCCACTCTTGGACAGCTCTGGGCAATTTTTCCTTTTCACTGAGCCAAACTCAACTTTCCTTCAACTTTAACAATTGCTAATTCTTCCTTCTGGATCTATATAGCGTAAATCAAGTGCCTGTTTAACTTGATGTCTTTCTAATATCTGACGGCAGCTAAGCCACGTTATCTCATTCAGAAGCTTCCTGACCTCCTTGTGAGGTAGAGGTATTTTTCACACCCATTTTACAGATGAGAAAGTAGTCTAAGTGAGGTGAGGAATATCTGAAAACTTAGAGCAAGGGAGTCTCAGAGGCTGGGCTTGATCCCAAGACACAAAGATTTGAGTCTCACAGCAAAAGGCAATTTGAATGGCTTCTCGATCTATTATTGTAATTAGGCTAAGTTAACTTTATTAGCTGTTCCTGATGTCAGTAAAACTGAACCATAAAGGAATGTGAAGTGTTTATGAAAAGCATTCAAATAAGAAAGGAAGGAAAGAAACACAGAGGAAAGAAAAAGAAAGGACACAGGCAGAGGCAGAGAAACTTTAGGATGTAGATAGAGAAAAGAAAGAGAAGGAGAGGAAGGAGAGAGGGAAGAGAAAACTAAGACGCCAGTGATTCAAAGATGGTGACCAACCCTGAGGCTGCTGGAATCCTGGAGGTCTTCTGAAGGTCTCCATGACTGGGGATTCCAGGAATTGAGACTTCTGCATCAATATCAAGAAAAGATCAAACGCTTACAACTTCTGGGTCCTGAATATCATCAATTTACAAAAGAAGGTAGAATATGCTTTTCTGTTGGACACAAGTAGAAGACACTTCCATTTGATATTGAAGAATATTTTAAAATACATGGGTATTATTTTCCTCTAAAACGGGGTTCTTAATATTGGATCCATAAATTAAACTTCTAAGCTAAAGGGGTCTTTGAACCCCCCAAAATTATGTATAAAATGTTGTATGGGTATTCAATTGCCTTTCTTTGTATTCTCAAATTCTTCTTCTTTTTTATTTTATTTTATTTATTTATTATTTTTGAGAAAGTGTCTCACTCTGTTGCCCAGGCTGGGGTGCAGTAGTGTCATCTCGGCTCACAGCAACATCTGCCCCCTCAGCTCAAGCAATCCTCCCACCTCAGCCTTCCAAGTGGCTAGGACTACAGGCATATGCCACCACACCTGGCTAATTTTTGTATTTTTTGGTAGAGATGGGTTTTCGCCATGTTGCCCAGGCTGGT